TCTTGTTAGTTTTTTTTGAATTCCAACAGCACTTTTCAAGACAATGGACTTAAATGTGACAACGCATGAGAGGCAAGTTGTGGCTAATCATGATAGTCAGAATTAGGTTACCAAAGGTCAGTTGCTACACACAAGGACAGTTAATTATGGACAAACCTACAGAACAGTTGTGAGCTGTAGATCATGAAGCACTCACTACATTCTTAGACTTTACACAGGTGAGAGACAGAATGTCTCAATAAAGTTTTATACAATGTGCATATTAGACCACAACTGATTTCTGAACAACTCACAGTTTATATATTTTTGTGTTAATTAATAATATATTAATTTTACTAATAAAAAGCAATTTCTAATATGCATTATTCTAACTAATTTAATATACACCAGAATTGACACTTTCACTGAAATGTCCGATGGCAGAGTGTTAAGATAAATATTTCTCAGGGGCCAAAAGTGAAGATACGTATCATTTATGTGGTCAATCATTAAATCAGTTGGTTACTCTGGTATATAGATCAAAGTTAACATCAGACTCTCCACACACACATACTATTGCCTGTCCTGAAGTACTTTAAAATAAATTGTAATCATTATAATATTCATTATTAAGTATTTCAGGATTCTTTTTCATATTTATTTATTTGTTGGTACTGGGGATCGAACTTTGGTCCTTATGCTTGCAAGGCAGGGGGCGGAACCACTGAGCTAAATCCCCGGGCTCCAGGATTCTTTTTCAAAATGTAAGTATTTACATAGTAATAATATGATTAATTTAAAAACATTAGCAATAATTCACAAACAATTTAATAACCAATAAAATATCACCTTCTGTTCAAGGATATCCTGTTTTTCTTATTTACCTCAAAAAGACCAACTTAAAATGGCCATTATATGTTGTTGTTATACTCCTTAAGTTACTTTTAATATCCAATAGACTTTTGAGATGTCTTTCTACCAATTTACCTACATATTGCATATTTTAGATTCTTGTAATGGCTTCTTTTGTGATATTATTATATTTTCCTTTACCCTTGTAATTCATATAAATAAGCTAATTTTTAATGTTCAGTTAAAAGCAAGGATTTTGTCACAGCACTTATTTAACTGCATATTGATACTCCTCAGTTTGAGGATCTTTATAAACCAATGTTATTTCATTATGATTCAATTACTTTATTAACTTTTTGGTGTTCACTCTGTCACAATGTTGGTCAATGCAATCTCTTTCAAGCTAACACTTTCGTTCTATTAACATGACCGTATTTTCTATCTTATGCAATATTTTTCAGAAAACAGCAAAATAAGAAATGATTATTTTGAGGTTTTTATAAATTCTACCTCCCTCTAGCTATATTAGGCTAAGAAAATATAAAAATTCAAAAGATAGTATTAGCTAGCAAAAGCCAGTGGTGGGATGTAAAAACATGTCATGATTTAGTAGGTCTTTTGCCAGGGTTCAAGATGCTTAACAATAAAATACCATGAATATATCATGATGGTGGCTAATGAATCTTGTGTAATTTGGTCAGTGCCTACCCACTTTAACTTCATGTGGGTCTCTTTTTATTGTTTCTAGATCCTAGCAGTCAGATTTCTCTCTTCTACAACATAAAGCTCTTTTTTGTCTCACAGCTTTTAAGCCTGTAATCCCTCATTCCTGGAATGTTTTTCAACAGCTTTTCAATTGGCTATTTTCTCTTTCCTTTATTCCAAGTTAAAAATGTACACCTCACAAAGACATGACTTGGCCACAGTCATTGCAAGAAGTCCATATCTCTCCCTTCCAGAAACTATCTGAAATCTCCTACAGATTGTCTAATTTGGGCGTCATTTAACTTCTATTACTGCAACACAGGCTACCTGAGGATGTGCTTGTTAAGGAATAGCTGCATAAGTCCATAAATTTTATGAATAATGAAAGGAACATGAAAAAGTTACTTTATTCCTCAGTCTCCTCATCTATTACATGGTCTGATAATCAGTGACCTGCACACCTTCCAGGATCTTTATTCAAAATAAAAATACATCAGAATGTGACTACCGATTCTAATATAAGAATGAAATTTTATTTTTATTACTATCTTCATCTTAATCATCATCCCATTATTATCATCATTGCAAATGCAACTAAAATCATAAAATTCATTTTTCTACTAGTTCTTGTGAAATAGGCAGCTCATATGACAGCTGGATATATATCTATAATCATTTCTAATTTTCTTTCTTTGGGAATATACATACACCACTCACTTACTTGCTAAAAAAGTAAAATGATTGCTACAGTATTTTTGCCACCAATGAATTGTTTATGTGTGTTTTGTTGCTTTGTAACAGATGAGCAATTTCTCAAGGAAAAACTGCAATGTTGAATTAAAGTGAAAAGCTGACTTGACTTTTAAGTAAACTTTATGATATTCCAGTGTGAAGCCAGATTTAATTAGTGTGTTATATTGGTAGTTCACTTTGACAGGGAACTCAGACTGGTTCCAATCAAGTGAACATATATCCTGGATAAAGCTTTCTGATATTGTCAAGTTTTCCTAAAGATGCCACTACCAAGTGGCTTTTTAAAAAGAAAATATAACTAAGATCTTATATTTTTCCTTTCAATATACAAAAAGAATAGATATGTTATGAAATATTTATAAAATGATGACTTTAAAATAATTCAAAATGTTAATGTATTAACAGATACATAACTTCACTGTTAAAATTTTAGTGTGCTATATTATATTATTGATACAGGTATCAATATGTGCATAAAATGAGTTTATATATTTAGACTCCGTATATAGTAATGACTACATGTGTGTGTAATTGTACATATAGCACAATTATCTAGTTTACATATGTGTGTAAAAATACATAAAATTTACATAAATACATGTACATATGCAGAGAATCATGCTCCATTTAAATTATGATCTCACTACATGTAAAGTTTTTCGTCCTGCATCTTCCCTCACTGAACAATTGTGAACATTGTTTTATGTAATCCCACTTCTTAACCTCACTTCATTTAGGGGCCCTTTTTGTAGCATGTATTTGTGTACAAAAGAGTTTTCATTCTGTATATAGTAATGACTACATGTGTGTGTAATTTTACATATAGCACAATTATCTAGTTTACATATGTGTTTTAAAAATACATAAAATTTACATAAATACATGTACATATGCAGAGAATCATGCTGCATTTAAATTATGATCTCACTACATGTAAAGTTTTTCATCCTGCATCTTCCCTCACTTAACAATTGTGAACATTGTTTTATGTAATCCCATTTCTTAACCTCACTTCATTTAGGGGCCCTTTTTGTAGCATGTATTTGTGTACAAAAGAGTTTTCCAGACAACTGAACTCGAGTTAATTAATTTTGCAAATGCTTCATCTTGTGTATACTCGCTGGCCCTCTGGGGCTACCGTCCCAAGGGGGAATAGAGCTCAACTGGCACAGCCTCAGTCCATAGAAAACCAAGGCAAACTTTCCCTTCCAACGCAGCCACCGCTGTGCTGATTGCATCAGAAGTGTCATGGAGAGAAAGGCACATTTCTCAGGACTCTAGTTATAAATTTTCTTAACAACTGCAAAAAGAAGACTGTACATGTATAACCAATGTACTTTACTGCAGGATGGAAACTAGCTAGAGATAATTAAGGTTTGGAGATCAGGGTATACGTAGAAAAAAATTGGGATTGTGAATATGGCAATCCTGGAATCCAACGCAAGAAGGAAAAATAAAACCTGTCTGTGTCCATCTTTGCTTTGATTTGCTGCATTGCCTTGAGGGTGCTGCCACTCCTTGGAAAGGATGCAATATATTAAGGCATTTTATTTCTGAGAGACTTAGCCTGAGTCCACAGATAAGCCATTTTATATTTCATCTTTCTGCAGTAGTAATGTGGAAAAGTATTACATCAAATTCACCAGTGTGAATTTGTGCAAATGGAAACACACACATATACACAGTACAATGAATATTTTTCACATAGAACACAATGTAAGTCCATTTGATAGGAGTCACTTCATTTAATTCAAGTACTGCACACAGCTTTCCTTACAGTATACAGTTTTACAAAGCTTTTGAAAATCACAGCATCAGATATCACTTTGCACATCCTTCTCTACTTCAAGACACATCCAGGGTCTATTGATTCATAAGAAAAGAATTCTAATAAGTATAATCTGGAAATAGTAGGCCATGTCTGCTGGAAGTACAGTTTTTCTTTACGCTTGCAGTAGAAAAAATTCTCAAGTATGCTATGCTTTCTCTTTGGGTACCATTATTTAATTACTTAAGAACTCACCAGTTATTGACTTGTTTTCATCTTTCTTGTTTAAAATTATATCAATTTTTAAGCTTCACAAAGCATCAAATATATCTGTGTATAGTAAACTAAATTATAAAAGAAAATGAACAATCTTCAAAGAACCAAACCTCTGGTCGTCACTATATCAGCAACCAGAGGAATGTTGGACAGATCACCTTGGCTTCATATTTTTTGGTCTTTTTATGTTAAAAATTACAGTGACAAGAAAAGCAGCCTTCAAGAGTCTTTAAAACACTAGTTTATGCTTTAAAATATTTATAGCAGTTATTCTGGACCCCGAAACAAGTTATATGCAAATACTCTCTACTGTCAATGACATCGGATAATTATCAATCACAAAATAATCTTTGATTTTAAGTAAAACCATGTCCATCTATCTTAGTGATTTGGAAAAAATAGTTATTTGTAATCAAGGCAGGCAAACTTGAGGCAAAGCTCGTAATGATTCACTAGCTGGCGCTTCTGGATTATAACCCAGGCCTCTTCGTAGCATTCCATTACTCATTGTTCATTAGGGTGGTCCTGGTGTGAGCTAGCACTCTTTTAAGCAACAGAGATAACAATTAACAAAAGGTAAAGTACTCTATTCCAGAGACCTTAAATTCTAGATTTAAAGATTATGAGGCTTAGCAATGCAAAACTCAGGAATATATGTAGTACTTACTTTTTGTGGGGAGAGGCCAGAGTGGTTCTTATGTGGGGTTAGGGGAAGACTGTGTCAAGAAAAGAAGGTGATTGTTTCCTGTAAAATAGAACAAAACCCTTTTCAACCTAAGTTCCAATAACTGAAATTTCTTCTATATTGGAGGGAGATATTTTACTTCAGACTCTAACACCCTTCTCTCCTAAAAGACTTCTGGATTGTTTTCAAGTTTCATTCTGAGAAAGGTGATGATGAATGTCTTCCAATATGCTGACATTCACTTTTGGCTCCTAATTTCCCCTCAGTCCTTGCCCAAGCAAAGCTTGCAAATTTATGACATAATTTATGATATTCTTGCTGAGAGCCTGATAGTGAATACTCCAAATCAAAGTTTAGAAGTGCTATCATTTGCATTGGCAATCAAACCGTTTTTAGATCACCACGGCTCTCAGTGAAAATGTCACAAAAGAAATTTCAGAGGCCACACAGTAAAGACAGAAGAACAGAAGATAAATTAAGAAAGACAAAAAGACCAACCAATAGGTTTTTTAAAATCACATGAAATAGAAATATGATGAAATGGAAATAAAAACAGATGCCGATTCCCTCAAATGTGCCTTTCATTCCTTCAGTGTACAGTCACAAGTTTGGTCTCCAAAGTCCATTTTGATCTGTCTGGTGAAATTAAACTTTTAAGATGCTGTGGGTTTTTTATTTTGTTTTCCTGAGAAGAAAATAAAGCCCTTTTATGCCAAACTACCCAGAGATCAAAGTACACACTGTTTACAGCATTCACAGTATACCCTGGTGTTAAATACATCAAGTTTGGCATATATGGAACTGAATTGGTGTTTTAGCTCTGCTCATTAAATGTTATATTAGCTCAGGCAAGTAACATGCTTACATCTACAAAATGTGGAGAGTATTTACCCACCTCAGATATTGATTCATGAATTAAATAAGATTGTACATGTAAAGTACTAGATGCTTCACACGTAAGCATTGAATAACTATAATATTTCACATAATTGTTATTGTTACTACATTTCTCTTTATCTATGGAGGTTTTGTTTCCATATTTACCTAATTCAAATACAATCTCTTCGTTTTGAAATACGATTATATATTTTTGTTCTTTTTAGAGGTACTTAGTATAGTCTTATAATTGTTTTGATCTAATAAGGTTATTTTAGCCTATTTTATTTCTCTATTCCTCTGAGAGCTTTAGCTATACAAAACTAACTCCATATATATATTTCTTGTACTGAGTTGGACTTTAAACATTTAAATAATTTTAAAAAATTATCATGGCCCCTAAATTTTTTCAAGTATTTAGAAATTCAGACTACTACAGGTGAGTGAGTACTTGCCATATTCTTAAGATTTTCATTGAAAGTTTTCTTTGTTGCCACCAAGAGAAATGAGCAGCTGGATTCTATGTGAGACCCTAGCATTACTGGACTGTATAAAATGTCATCATTTAGCTACCCAAGTTTTGGCTTCTGAAAGGCACACTTTCCTTATATATTACCCATCTTTTGCTTAAGTTAAACTGTAGTTGAACAAAGAGGCTGTCATTTCAGTAGTTTTTGTCACCTTATACCTTTCTTGTCTGAATTACATGAAATCATCATCTCATGAACCAAATAAAATAGACTTTTTAAAAATGCTCAATTTTCTCAGTTTTCTTTGATTTTACAACATGAGGAATTTGACATATGAAATTAGTGATGCTGGTAAAATCCTAGTGTATTTGCACAAAAACTACTTTTATATGTGTCCTGATTCCTGAGAAGACTAAAAACTTACGTGATGGTCTGAGAATCAAAGGAGTTAAAATGGACATTTGAAAGGCAGTGAAAGTTTATTATATGCCCTCATCCTATGTATTACATCAGCTGTGATTACTTTAAAAAATATATATATACTTTATACACACATGCACATACGTATGAGATAATAAAAAGCAAAGAAAGATGTTTTTTCTCTAGCAAATTGTGCCTTTAATAGCCACATAGCTATATTGATAAAATGTATTAAAATCATAAATTTTTGAAATCTGGAAAAGAGCTAGGGGATTATCCAATGTAGTGATTCCTAATCTAGGGTCCCTAAAGAGCTATTTTCAAAACGTTTTAAAGCCCTATATAGATTATATATAGGCCTATAATATAAATACACCAAAAAAGTTTCATAAACTATTTAGATAAGAGGACTGGGAATAAGAACAGAATGTGTTTGGATTTGCATAATTTATTTAGGTCTTATTCTTTTATAGATAAAGAAAGTAAATCAAAATGTTTGTTTCATATATTTTAAACTTTAAAATATAGTATATGTTTGTGATGCCTAATATTTACATTCATTTTGGGGAACCGGTATATATGTGTCTATATAATCATTTTACATACTCTTTCCCTCCTCCCCTGCTCTTCCCCTTATTTCCTTTCCCATCTACAAAACATCTATTTCTCTAGATGACTTAGTATGCTGATATCATTATTCATAAAGCCTTTTTTATTACTATTCAGTGTTCTTTTTATCTTACTTTCTGACTAAGTAGGGGAGGGAGAAGTGGCAGGGGTAGGGGAAAGGAAAGAAGACAAAGGAATAAATACAAGAAAAGGAAAAAAAACAGAAACAAAATCTTTGTAAATAGGGAGGGTGGAAGGGTTGAAGGGAGGGCAGGGGAGTGGGAAAAAAATAAGACCCAATATATGTCATGTGAAAGTACAAATTCCCAATGATGAACATCATCATACAAAATACCTAAAATGTACCCCAAAATAATGAATATATTAAAAAAACTCCCTTGTAAACATTCTAAAGGAAAAAAAATCCTGACACAACTGATTCTTTGTCCTCTGAGGGTCCAAAGGTGTCCAGGGGAAAGCCGTCAGATTACTACACTCTGATTTAAATATTTCTAGTGTTTATAACTGATGGTCAGTCACTTTCATCTCTAATTTTGCCCTGACTCCTTTGGAGCTTTGTATTATATCTTGTTCTCTGTGCAGTTAGATCCTGTGCATCTCCTGTTCCATTTATTCACATCCAAGACTACCCTTTTTCTTGCTATTATCATAATAATAACATACACACTAAACATGTACTGTACGGTAGCCAGTTTATCAAATACGAGTACATTACATGAATACTTAATTCATGGTAGTAACATTTCTATGAATTTCAGAAAATAAGACTCTCAAAATCTAAGTAACTTCCCTGAGATGGCTCCTGAGCATCTGGTCCAAGGTTGTCTCTCATGCATTCTGAGTTCTAAAACTGTTGTATTCTCAAATCAAAAGACAAACAACATGGACACGCAAACCTTATCAAGATTAAGTTTTTCAAATTATGAAAGTAGATGCCAGGTGTTTTTATCACTTCCTAACCCCCCCTTTCTGCTCCCTTTTGCCAATATTGAGCCCAATATATCAGCATCCTGCCCAAGCAAAGCCTTACCCTTCCATCATGACTTACCTATTGCTCTTAACTTACGAAAGAGGCACATAACAGCTGCCAGATTGGAAAGGGTCCTAGGACATTAGTAAGCAATCGATAGCTTCCAATAACTCTTTATATCTTTCTATAAATATTCTTGAATTTTAACAAAAATAAGTAAAAAAAATCAGGAGAAAGACCCTAAAATGACAAATTTTAAAATCTTGTGCTATATCCTGAGAGGATGAGAATTGAGCTGGAGACACAAACACCTGAAACTTGGCTTTTATTAGGGGGCAGGGTGCAGAGGACAGGGTGCCAGGCCATCGCAGACAATGGTGAGAGCAACGGGGAGGGGCTGGCTGGGTGAAGTTTTATATGGGCAAGGGGTTCTAGGGGAGGGGGCATAGTGGACACAGATGTTTGGCTGCAGCCAGAGGTGAGGTTTAAATCCTTTGGCAAATTTAAATGTCCTGGTGGGAAGGACTAGAAGAGGGAGAGCTTAGCAGCTGGGAAGTTGGGTCTTGGTTTCCCCAGGGCAATTCATTATTTGCCAGGAAGAGCCATTTAGGAGGTGGGGTTAGAGTCATTTTATCATTATTTTACTTAACTCTATCACACACAGTTGCTTTAATTTTTAAAATTGCTTATTTAACTAGAAGAGGGAGAGTTTAGCAGCTGGGAAGTTGGGTCTTGGTTTCCCCAGGGCAATTCATTATTTGCCAGGAAGAGCCATTTAGGAGGTGGGGTTAGAGTCATTTTATCATTATTTTACTTAACTCTATCACACACAGTTGCTTTAATTTTTCAAATTGCTTATTTTTGCTTGTATGAGTGCAGAGGAATGTAAAATACTCTCACTAATTAAAAACCCAGTTATTAATAAAACTGAGAATCTCATCTACAGCTCTTAAGTGTTGATCTATGCCTAATTGAATCTATTTAATTTAGTTACTGAATAGGACCAAATTAATCTGTAGAAGTGGGAATGGTACTGATTGCAAAAAAAGAATTAAAATGTAATACCTAGCATTATAACTCATAATGTTTACATCTTTTGTTTTTAAAGAGACATGAAAATGTTTATTAAAGATAGAAATATAGGATATATTCAAGGAATGAAGTGCAGGTGCTCAGATAAATGAGACACCTATACTTTTATCTTCATTCACATAACTTTTCTTCTCTGAACATTTCTTCTTCACTAAAAAATAAAATTAAAAGAAGAGAGAGCATCATGGTTAATTATCTCTAATCTCTTTCTGATATAAATTTGATAGTCTATCTTTGTTTGACTGTATTTGCTAGCTGGATAAGAAGGTAGTAATGATAGCAATGATGTGTGAATAATTCCCCCTGGCTCTTTGGCATTGTGAATGAAAGTATTTGTGGTTTCCTTGAAGAAACAAAGTAAAATCTCCCATGAAATGTGCTTCTAGATCTCATGTTAGCCTTAGGCTCATCGGACCTTAACCATGAGACCATTCAGCTTATAAGGAGCAAAAGGAATGGAAGGAATGCAGCAGGGTTTTGACGCTTCTGTGTTCACCAATCTGTTGAACTGCTGAAGCTGTTTCCATGTGAATTGCTCCAACTCACTCAATTGTGCCGTTGCCAACTGCTCTTTTTGGCAGAGTCCTCTGAGGGTTTCACAG